TGAGAAAAGTCATCAACCTATATATTTATGATTTATATACTTTTGTTATTCTTCAGTAAAATCACCCCTCCAAAAGCAAAGGGGAATCCAGCATTATGTGAGTTGTACATTTACAGGGATTCTGCAGAACATCTTTGATATTTCCAGAAAATCAGCAAATCTGAAAACTTATGTGCTACAAACATGGCTATTCCACTCAGAACAAAGCAAAGAGGGAATTGAAAATTAATTGGTTAATACATTTAGTGTAAATAAATTTTTAAAAAATTATGTGAAAATAGGGTAGTATAGAATAAAAGCTTTTACTGTTTGCCAAACCACTAGGTTTAAATGGTATCTAATTGTTGCTTTGAATTGTACCTCAGCTTTTCTTACGTTGAGACATTTGTGTTTCTGTTCCTAGGAATATCCTTCACCCACTTTTCTACTGGATTATCACCCTTTCTAAATAATTTAAACTATGTAAATTAAGTCCTATGAAAGTGAGTCATTTATATGTTAAAGATTTTTTTCACAGGATTTCATTACTCTTTTGATTTTGTGTATGACATTTAGAATCCATACAGGTTTTTTGTTTTATTTTTGATCTATTGAATGTTTCCTTTATTCTTGAAGAATCTGGGTTTCCCCTAATTCATGCTTTTCTTTCTGTGACAGGACTGTGGACCCTCTCTTGGCTTAGCAGCAGGCATCCCATCCCTGGTGGCCACAGCCCTGCTGGTGGCTTTACTATTTACTTTGATTCACCGGAGAAGAAGCAGCCATGAGTCCACAGAGGTGATTACCTGCTTCCTGGGGTCTAGATGTGTAGACAGGAATCAGTATTTCAGTGAACTGGCTTTTGGGCTAAGGGTGTCAGAATTCGTGACTCATGTCTGTTTCCAGAGGACGAGATGGTGGAGGTGTGTCAGAGTCATCATGTCCATCTTCGGCTCGGCATTATGCTCCAACCCTCAGGTCACGTGAGGAAATCCCTGGCAACAAGGAGAGTATTTGGGGTGGCAAAAAGTAGTATCGGAGAGGGACATTTGTTGCCATGGTAAACACATGTCTGTACAGTGTGTATGTTTTCTAAAGCTGAGAAACAAAAGGTCACAAGCTTCACAAAGAGCAGATGGAGATAATGTTAGGAAAGACAGGAGATAAAAAGGTGCTGAGATGACTACAGGAGGGATATGTCCAGAAGTATGTGGCTCTGTTTATCTTTGCCCTTTTCTCACATCTGAACACATGAAATTCACAAGGAAATCTACACCCATCCTTCCTCTCCCCAAATGCCACTATGCTCAGCACTCAAAGGCCACCCAGGTTCTTTGTGATCCAACTGTGTCACGTGGAGTCTGGGTTCTAATTTCATTCTCTATTTATGAACATTCATGGTTGTGCTCACACTGGCAAGAATTAAAGGAAGATAGAAAACTGAGGTTCTAATCCTAACTCTATGCTACTTTATATGATCCTGGACAAGTGACTTGACATTTTCTTTTTTTTTTTATTTTTTTTTATTTTACTTTATTTTATTGGTTATGCATATTCATGGGGTACAGAGCTGACCGTCACAACTTNGAAGGGGTGAATTTTAGGCATCACAGCTTAACCTTAGACAGATTGTCTTGTGTGATATTTGTTCTATAGACTTTGTTCTCTTACAACACATCTTCTTTTTCCACACAGACTTCCTCTCCGGTTGTTACAGCTGGGAAAGAAGCAGTGAGTGTGTCACTTACGTTACCAAGACTGGATTTGGTCATTTATAAAATGGGGATAATAATGCTCTACCGAGCTGGTGCATTTCTTTCCAGGATCAGAAAAAGTTTAGTAGGTGAACTGTCGCCAAGCACTGTACCGGGCTCAACAGTGATTCTTATGACCAACTCAGCTCAGAAGTGAGGGAGAACATGCTAGATCACAGCTGGATTTTACAGTGTTGAGAAAATGAAGCCAGACACAAAAGAGTGCATACCTTATATCTGCATCCACACGATATTGAAAAACAGACAAAACTAATCTATGGTGATGGATTTCAGGACAGTGGTTACACAGGGGGAGACTGGAAAAGAGTATGAGGGGCCTCTGGGGTGCTGGTAATGTTC